GATTTGACAAAACATATTTTATTTTATTTTAGATTGAATAGGGAAGAGTTTGCCCTTTTGTCAGGTTTTTTGATTTCTGGGGGATATATTTCCTTATATCCTGTAAGTATTTGAAGTAATGGGAAATCTCTACAAATAGGACAAAGACAAAAACTAAGCTGCTAAAAGGCATCAATTTTACAATACTGTTTTCCTACACTATGCTTTATTGCCGTACTTAGGAGCCGAAGGATATAGCCATAGCTTCGGCTAATCCTTCAATGACAGGCCACTGTCGTTAGGTCATTTGAGGAAAGTGGCCATTTGTTTTGCTTTTGCCGGGAAATCTGGGAGGAGTTTGAGAGGTGCGGATAAATGTAAATAGTTAGGCGGAGTTAGCGGTGATGTCACTGCCCAATTGTTTATATTTTCTGGCATCTGTCATAATTTCATTTTGGCAAGAGTTCATCGTGTACAGATGGGTCGCCGGCGGCGTGTACAACGATGGACAGGAGTAGAGTCATTTAAAAAAAATTTGGTGTTTTTATTTTTTTATTAAAGGACTTGTCAAAAACGTTAGTTTTGTTTTTTTCAATTAAATATTTTTTTCTTAAAGTCTGGTGTGTTTAATTACTTTTTACTTTTAACCCTTTAGTGAATGGTCAGTTACAAGGGGGGCAGTATCTGGAGGTGGGTTTCCCCCGATGCACTTTATGAGAGGGTATACCCCGATGCACATAAGTCCCCCTGCCCACAGACCCCCACAACCGACATGTCAGGGCTTGTAGGGACTTGTAGGCACGGGGACAATGTGCATTTCCAGGGGGGGCCTGGAAAAGCAACCTTCCACTGTCGAGGGCATGTGGCTTGGTATGGTGCAGGGAGGGGGGGCGCTCACTTGTACCCCCCCTTTCCTGCCCCAGGCTTGTGCTCGGATTAAGGATTTGGTAGGAATTTTAGGGGGGACCCCGTGTTTCCCCCCCCCCCCCATTTTTAGGGGGTGGAATTCGCCCTTAAGATTCCTACCAGACCTAAGGGACCTATGGTCCCTCCTAACTGTCCTCCAGACCCAAAGCAATATAAATTGCTGTTCTATTTCTTTTCTTTACTGCAATTTTTTTTATTATGTTCGCTACCTTTGAGGTAGCGAACAGAGTAACCGAGCCGAATACCACTCTGCGGCATTCAGCTATTCACTCACTGCCATTTGCCCCTAAGAGAATGAGAGCAAATGGCAGCAAGTGAACTGCCGGAGATTCGGCTCAGCCGATCCAAATGTTGGATTGGCTAAGTCGAACGTGTTCTTCACTTTTGCGCTCAGCCGAACATGTTAAACTTGTACGGCTGAACCGAAGGGAGCCAAAGCCAGTCGATGTACAGCTGATTTCAGCTGATGTATGGCTGAAATCAGCCGTAAAGGGCTGAAGTAAATCGGCAGCTTAGTGAATAACCTCGGCTGTGCTTTATCAAGTGTAGCTGCTGTGATTATTTTAATGGTAATATTAAAAAAACATAAAATACAAAAATACATAACAAAAAAAATGCTTTTTCCTTTATTTGAAAATTATCATTATACTGTAAATGTTGATCGTAATCAAATGCATTGCCTTGTTATACCATGTTTGTATATAGGTATATGTCCTTTGACTTTTTTTATGTACAGCCATAAATAAATCAGTATACCAGTGTACCTATTCCTTTGTTCAGTTATGGTTTGACACTTATTTAGGAAATGAAGCTGTAGCTCGCGGTATACTGAGACGCCGCAGCTGAAGCAGATCCCGACAATTGTGCCGGGATCCGCCCAGCTGCGTGATTGACAGCTGCTCTGCCTATCTAGAGGCAGAGCCAGCTGTAACCGCCCCCGCCCAGTCAGCGCTGGCGGATCGGAGCGGGGAGGGGGGAATCCAGCCCCTCCCCTGTCACGGCAGAGTGCCGTGTCAAGATCGAGAGGTGATCGAACGCCGGTATGTGTCTACCAGTATGTGTCTCCCGATCTACTGAGCCGACCTGTGCCAGTCTCATTGTCACAGGAAAAGCACTCACCTCATAGTTCTCCTTTAAGAGAATTTAAAGTGTATTTCTACTTTCACAGGCCAAATTGGGATAACACCTATTTTATGTTTGTTATATGTTTATTCACACAGCATAAGCTAAACAAAATATTTCTTGCGGTTTTGCTTGGGTTAGGGTTTCTGTGATTTTTAAGGGTTACATTTTCTACTTGCTTCTCCTTCTTTGTAATGCTAGGCTGTGCTAGGGGTCAGGGGTTAAATGATTACAAACCTGGCTTTCTCCTCCCATGTATGTTAGTTAAATTAATGAAACACAATCCTCAAATGTCAGTCCTCAGTCTTTCTTTAACCACTTGAAGACCAGGTGTTTACGCCTCCTTCCTGGCCGGGCCATTTTTCAGTATTCAGCACTGCAGTACTTTGACTGACATGCAATGCTGTCATGCAATGCTGTACTGAAATGCATTTTATACCATTTTTGGGGACAGACAAAGCTTTCTTTTGGTGGTATTTATTCACCACTGGGGTTTTTATTTTTTACTATATTAAGGAAAAAATACTGAAAATTTAGAAAAAAAAAGTTTTGTTTACATTATGTTATAAAACATTTATTAGTACCCAATGTTTTGGTGAAATAAATAAGAAAAAAGAAAACTTGCCGCACTCCTTACCGGTTAAATAGACACCAAACATGTCAAGCTTTAAAATTGCGCTCGCCTGCTAAATCGCAAAAAACTACCATACCCAAAATTGACCATAGGTGACTTTAAAAGTTTTACCGCTCATCAGTTTAGTGTTATCAGTGATTGATGGCCCTAGCATTATTGCTCTCACTGCGATGTTCGCGGCGATATGTAACATGTGTGGCGTAATTGGCGCAATCGCTTTCGCACGTATGTGCACCCAACGCATGTTTGCATACGTGTATGTATGGGTAGTGGGGACTTTTTAAAACATTTCTGTTTTTTTATTCTTTCTCATGTGTGACTTTAACATTTTTTTGCAAGTTTCATTTTTTTTTCCTATTTTTTTTCCCACTTAACTTTATTGTTATCACATAAGAGGCTAAGAAACCCCTCTATGTGATAGGTCTCCAAAGACTACCTAATATCACCTAGGGAAGCCCAAAGAAGCTGATGAAGCAGAGATCTGCTTCATCAGGGGGGGGCACATACCGGCATGGTATACAAGCGATCCGCCGGTTCTATAGCTGGCTCATCGCTTGTATGTAAGTAAACAGGCGTCGCTGCTTGTTTTTATATTTTGGCAGTTTCCTGCTTGAGTGCCACTGTCGTGCGCATGGCTGACGGGACGTTTACAACGCCCTCTCAGATAGAGAAAGCTCCCGGCCGGCCATTGTATCACAACGGCCGGCCGGAAGGCGGTTAAGGACAGATCAGCTTAGAAATTATTTTTTTTTAAGATTATTTTATGTTATGCTGTGTGAATGGGAACACAGAACAAACATACACTATAGAGGGGGCTTCTCAAAGTTGACTGCAAAAGTAGAAATACACTTTAAGGCAAAAAGTGTACCCTCATTTAAGTTCACTAAATATTTCCAGGAAATATTTACTTTTTGAGATGAGTTCCTCTTTATGGTCCCATTATAGCAATATCAATACACTGTCATACTAGGTTTTACATGGCAAGCAGATACCAAAGAATAAAGTTGCCAGATTTGCTAAAGCTAGCATATAAAGGCATGTTAGGAGGCTACACATAAGATTTTAGCAGGTTTTTCTTTTTTAGTTCAAGGGAAACCTTTCCTGAAAATGCTTGTTGCCTGGTGTCATGCGTATCCTCTTCCTTCAATGCTCTCACTTATAAACTCAGAACAAGCATGCAGATATGGATGTCTAATGACCCGATATACATACTTGTTGCAGGTCAAGGAAACAGAAAGTATTGAACTCAGGTTTAGCATAAAGCTGATAAAGTTTACTTCAAAGCCAAACTTTGGGCTATTTTAAATGCTCCCCAGCATGTAAAAAAAAAAAAGTAGCACTAGATGTGATACTATCTTTCACTCTTGAACTGTCCCCCACAGTACCTCTACTTCAGCACAAGATGTCCTCTGTCTACTGGGCTAATTGATGTCCGATGTTACTTAGCATAGAAGACTGAGGAAAGACAGTGAATTCAGGATCTCATGGCCCCACTCCTGAGCACAGTCCCTTCACTCTCCCATCATATCAGCATCACTCTCTGCATCAGATTGTCGAGGATAGAGACCCAGCATGTCACATGACCAGCCAGAAAGTAAAAAAAAAAAAAAACACATAAAATATTGCTGGTGGAGACATTAAGAAGGGTGAAGCAGTTATTGCTTATGGAAGCACAGAGCTCATAGTTGGGCTTTAGGACAGCTAAATTAAGTGCTAAATTAAAAAAAGTGCATGCCAAGATGTATTCTATATTTAATGTACATAAAGAATATGTTATATATTAGGCATCCTCATCATGATCATGGTCACTACTCATTAGACATTTTTGTGTTTAGTGTATTTGAATCTAAGTTCACATAAAAAGAAATACCAGGGCTTGGGAAACAAAGAGGAGTTACATAATAAATCAAGTTTCTCTCTTGCAGTTTCTTAAAACAAATGTACAATTGTATTTAATATTCTTTTCTTTGTGACTAAAAAGTGAACATATTAAGGATGTTGTGAACCCCCTGGGCTTCACTGTATAACTATAGTCTTTCAGACCTTAGGACACCTAATGAAGCGAAAAGGCTGACCTCAAGTTGCCCCTCTTACTGAGAATTGCTCATTTTCACTGACTCATTGCAGAAACATAACGTGTAAATACTAAGCTAGACCCTAACAAAAAGCACAACTCTTCCTCCCGAGGCCCCCTGCCTTCTGGCAAGAATAGACTAGACACACAAAAAAAGTGTCTGTCATTACGAGTCAGCCAAACAGAGCTGCAGTGTTGAATCCAGCAACTCCCTTCCCCCGCTGCACGGACTCTTGACAGAAGGAGGGGAAAGAGCAGCAGAGGAGGAGAGGATGCTGAAGGTACAATGAATAGACTGAAATCAGCACTAGCAGACAGTCCCCTTCTCTTCTGCTCAGTCTACCTTCTACAGTAGCTGTGAGCTGTTTTGTGTGCATGGACCTTTTTGGTTTTTTTTCTCCCATTTCCATGAATTATTTATTTTGAAACACGATCATTCTTGCACATTGTCACATTGCCTATTAAAGTGAAAGGAATGCTGTGATAGAGTATAGACATGGATCAGGCTGCATTTGCTCTGCCCCTCCCAACTCTTGCTAGCAGGCGCTGACCCTGGTGCTGACTGGAGGACCTTGTAAGTCGGACTGTCCCAGCGAAGACTGAAAACGACCCAAACCACTTAACGTGTCTCCGCAGACGTACATCATCACCGACACAAGTGCAAGTTTGACATGTTGACCCAGAGAATTTCCAGGTATTACCTACACTAATCTTGCAGTTTGTCTCCCCCACCTGAATGTTCTAACAGCTTAATAGAGAGAAAGTTTTATGACAGCTTGTTTTCTTGTTGCTTACCTGATATACTGAACCTGTTTGGGCATTTTTTTTAGCAGATAATGCAGGCAGTTATTAAAGAATGCATGATCTTACTGTTGAACTTGTGGAATTAAATAACATTTTCCAATGATGACTATTGCATATAATAATACGTCCTACATATATTGCATTATAGAAATAACATTGTTATTCAGTGAAATATTTAGAATAATCAGAAAGTGCTAATGACAATATTGCAAAATCATAAGTTACCATTCTATTAATAAGCTTTGATATAATTAATAGAGATGATTTTTTATTTGAATAGTGGATTGAGGAATGTTGTTGATTCCCAGTGGTAAAGGCAGGCAATAACAGGACAATAAGAAATGTGTACATTCCCTGTTGTCTTCTGTTTGTCAGCATTCCCATAGCTTTTAATGAAATGAGCTTCTACAGTCAATATATTCATGCTACAAACCATTTTCCCTTGTGTGTCTGGTGGTTATTATGTTTCTATATGTGCATTGCTATATTTCATATATATTATGTGTAGCATGGATGCCCTCTTGTGTTTTATGATCCATACTATTTTGATTGATTTCTCTAATAATTAATACAAGGCACACAGGATTATGCATGCAGCCCAGTTTGGAAACACGGTAGCACAGAGAGCACTATTGAGACATCAGCCGTCATTGAATTGAAAATATATGTATGTGTTTGGACTGTATGTGTGTTCTTTAAAGAATACACATAAATCAGGAAATTGATTTTATAGGTTCCTCTTCTAAGAAATGGATAGCAGAATTTAAGTTGCCAAAAATCTGTCACTTGTCTTAAGAGCACTTTCTTCACTTGATAATTATAAGAATGATTTATTGCAGGCTGAGTTCATATTGCTGTATTCTGGAGGCAATTGCACAGGATACAAAATCATTCACTGGTGTTAAAGATGATATTTCTGCCAGAACACCACATATCTGAGGAAATGAATGCTAGAAGATCAATATAAGCTAGCGGAGTGGTGTGATCATCAGGCACATTGCAATTGCTAGTAAAAAAAATCAATCAATTTAACAAATGTCAAAACAAACTTGTTTCCTATTTGCTCCATATAAATATATATATTCGGCTACCAGCCACATTTGGAATACAAAGAACATGGTAAAGAAATCTGAAATGAATACTATTTTCACAAAGTTTGTAATCGAGCTGATAGATCGGTAGTAGGAGTTGAGTAGTTTAACGCAGCCAAATTGCTAGATAAGTTGAGCAGCTGGTCCATGCTTGTCATTTGTCAGATGTAGTGTTATAAATCCACAAGAAGTTGTTAGAATCCAATTTGTGACTCAGAATGCAGCTGTAAATACTAGTTGGGCTGTCTTGAGATTTATCAGTATTTCTCAGTGAGCAGGTTCTTGTCAAAAGCTGTGATATATAGACAAGGTAAGTTCATTGATAAGCAAAGTGACACCCTTTTTCCTTGTCGATGTTGGCAGCAAACAAAATCTTACAGTTGTGCACTATAGCAGAAGAAATATATATGTGACATTTAGTAATAAACGATGCATTAAGAATAAAGTAAGACATATGTTATAGAAATATACAGTTTGTTTGCATATTTACTGATTCTGCAATGCATACATCAACATTTACATATGCATATTGAGCGCATTGCAGCTTGGCCTGTTTCAATATGGTTCAAAATATGTAAAACAAAATGTGTGCATTTGTTCAATGTAAGTAAAAAATGTCCCTGATTTTCCACCCTTGTCCTCTCTCCTGCTAACCTCACTAATAAACTGAAGCATAAAGGGACAGTCACAAAATTACTCTGTTTTTAATTCATCGTCATGTGGGGTTTAGGGGTCGTAGTTAGAGCAAACATGTTATGATTTAGTCACTGGAATGGCAACAGCAGCCTACGACTATGGAGGGCCTTAACAACTACCAGGTCAGGGTATTGAAATGCCTGAGTTGCTTGGTGCATATACCAACACTGAATGTTTAGTGCTGGCCTGGGTGACATTCAACTTAAGCACTGTGCCCCATATGATCATCATAAGAATTACATACCAGCTAAAGTCAATCTTGCCCCCACTGCCTGTATTATTCAATTGCAACAAGCTAAATGCCTCACACTGGCAAGAATGGCTGAGTACAGATTTTCCATTCATATATTAATAATATAAATCTACATACGGTAGTTTATTCATTAACTGAAAAGATTTTTAGGTGGAATTTCCACCAGCATACTCACTGCAGGGAGGTTCAATGTTCTCATTTATGTGTTTCTCATTCATGCTTTGCTTACCACCCACCATCCAAACAAGTTCCACTAAATTAAATGGCTTTCAGTTAAATTTTGTAAATTAGTGAAATTGCAAGCAAGGACCGACATTAAAGTGGAACTAAACCCATTGATTTCAATGTTACCCAAAACAGTTACACTCAACATATGCCTCTGGTGACAATTGTCAAGATTATGTTGACTTCATCTTCCTTGTGTATGTTGACTTAATCTTCCTTGTGTCGGCTCTCAACCAAGCTTTCAGTCCCTCAAATGACTGGTGTCATAGCTGATCACATGTGCTGTACCATGGCAGCTGCAGATTTAAATGGAGGCTAAGATGGCACCATCCTCAGTTGCAAAGGATAGGAGGGTTCCATTCTGCTCTCTGTAAAACATTGTAATATAGGAAATGCTATTTTTATGTACAATTGCTGTGAGTATTTCACAACTTACTATCATAAAATTTCTTAACCAATCAGGCCAAGACTTTCCCTTTGTAGTGAATCTGCAAGCGCCTATTATGGTTATATCTATGGTAACAAAAATAATTCCATATACATTTTTATTGAAATTGAAAGTGCTAATAGACTTTACAGTGCCAACTGAAACATGTACAAGTAAGGACAATCTTACATAAGAAACAGGTATCACCCTCAATAGGTAAATGTAATAATGGAACACAAGATTGGCTGTGGTGAGCAGCTAGGTTCGTATGGCAGAAAGTAGAAGCTGGTAACAATATTTTAAAGTAGTTTACTACCTGTTCTGAGTAACTCTCAGAGCATTGTATATGAACAATTACTTTGGAAATAGATCTATAGTGTTCATTGTGAAGCCACCATAGGCAATCACAGTTATTCATTGTGATTCTAGTGTATTTGAACTAATGTTCTGGTGTAGGAGGAATGCAATATTGAGTCAGTTTTGTTTCTACTTTTCTCTCAGTATAAAGTAGCAATAAATAACACATTTTTAACATTATTTCCACAAAAGTGGATCCTTCCAGTCGAAGTTATCATCATTTATGTGGATGGCACTATGTAAAGCGCATTGTAAATTGTCGGCACTATATAAATTATTATTATTACATAGGATTTATATAGCGCCAATAGTTTGCACAGCGCTTTACAATATAAGGAGAACATAACAATCACAATACAATTCAAGACAAGAGGGCTTACAATCTAAAAGGGAGGGAGAAGTGATACATGAAGAGGTAGCTGTGTGGGCATGAATTTTTTGAGAACGTGATGGTTCAGTGGTTAGGTCGAGGTGGGATAGGCTTCCCTGAAGAGATGAGTCTTTAGGGAACGCCTAAAGGCAGTCAAGGTGGGAGATAGATGGACAGGTTGGGGTAAAGAGTTCCAGAGGATGGGAGAGACTCTGGAGAAGTCCTGGAGGTGAGTATGGGAGGAGTTGACAAGGGAACTGGAAAGCAGGAGGTCTTGGGATGAGCGGAGTGGACGGTTAGGGTGATATTTTGAGACAAGGTTTGAGCTATATCCGGGGGCAGAGTTGTGGATGGCTTTATAAGTGACTGTTAATATTTTGACTTTTATCCTCTGGGTGAGTGGAAGCTAGTGGAGGGATTGGCAGAGGGGGGTTGCAGACACTGAACGGTTGGTCAGGTGGATGAGTCTAGCAGCTGCATTCATGATAGACTGAAGGGGGGATATCCTTTGTAGTGGAAGGCCAATGAGGAGGGAGTTGCAATAGTCAAGACGAGAGATTACAAGTGAGTGGATGAGTAATTTTGCGGTTTCATTGATGAGGAAGGTGGTGTATTTTGGAGATGTTACGAAGGTTAAGACGGCAGGATTTGGATAGTGATTGGATGTGGGGAAGAAAGGTGAGGTCCGAATCAAGGATGACACCAAGGACCTTGGCATGGGGGGAGGGATGGATAGTTGTGTTATCAATCTCAACCGAAATGTTGGGGGAAGGTGCACGGGCGGGAGGAAATATCAAGAGATCAGTTTTTGAAAGATTGAGTTTTAAGAAGTGTTGTGACATCCAGACTGATATGTCAGTTAGTAGATTAGTGACACGCAAGGACACTGAGGGGGTGAGTTGAGGCGTGGAAAGATAAATCTGATTGTCATCGGCATAGAGATGCTTTTGGAAGCCATGTGAGGTTATTAACTGACCAAGGGAAGAAGTGTAGATGGAGAAGAGGAGGGATCCAAGGACAGATAAATACCTGTAATAAATTTAAAAAAAAAACATTTAATTACTAGGTTTTCAGCACGAGTGGTGACCATGCCACAGAGGTAGCCAGTTGACATATAACCCTGCAAGAAAATAGTTTTGTTCCATTTTAGATAGACTCAGATTGTTATTTATTTATTTTTTCGAATTCGATTTGGTTTGCTATTCAAATTTTGTATCCGTCCGAATTTTCACTTCAGAAAGATCCACAACAGGAAGTCATATGACTGTGCCTGTAATGCAATCCCCAACAACCAAAAAAAAATCTGATTGGCCAGAGAAGAGTCACATGTGTAGGGCTGCTCTAATAGTGGTCAAGAATGTCCCCACAGTAGTCCAAATTAGCTTAATCTATAAGCATGCATATCAATGTTAGGGGCAAGCCTTTACCGCCACAGATGTGAGAACATACAAAATGAATAGTACCACCAGAA